GTTTGTTCAAACTGTCTGTCGGCGTTTTACAGGCAGCAGGAAGAAGAACACACAGGTTTGTATCACACGTGCGTCATTAACACACATAAAATCTGAGCTGTCTTTTTTTCCAGACGTCGGCGATGACCAGCCGGGTCGGCGAGCTGCACAGTGGCACAAACAGAACGTACCGGCGGGCCGAGGATGTGTTGTCCCTCCTCAGGAACATGAGCGCCAATATAAACGGTACGGCGCGAGAACCGAGTTTCAAATCTGAAGACCTGACCGGAGGCAGAGCGATGCTTGGACCCATGTGCTTGTGTGTCCGCAGAACTTCTGCTGAGGTCGAACAGTTCTTCGCTAAACGAGACGGAGGCAGAGGAGGATGGCGAGGAGAGGGAGAGGAAGATGAGGGAGGTGCAGGCCATGCTGAGGGAGATGAGGCACAGGAGCTGCACGGGTCAGATGAAGATGGCCGACAAAGAGAAGGCAGAGGCTGAGAAACGTAAGTTTATTCGTTTTAATGAGCCGTGATGAGCACGCTCAGTCTAACCCACAGACCGATCTGACGAGAGACGACCTTCAAAGTAAAACAGGAAATAAACAAGAGAACTGATACAGAACCAGGACCAGGACCGAACTGACCCAAACTCTGATGAAGCAGAACTCGCAGAACGGGATGAAGCACTCGACAGTGTCAGGAGGAACCAGACGCGCTCTGAGAAGACATGAACATCAGATCAGGGTCACAGACGACGAGTTAAACTTCCAGCAGCTCGTCGGACCTGTGAACCAGCTCACACCTGCCCGAGAACGAGGGATGAAGTATCTGCTGTAACATCTGGATGTTTGATGGTTTTATTAAATGTCTCTGACTCGCTGCTGATGTCTCTTCAGCGTTTAAAGGCTAATGAGCAGGTTTGTGTTTGAGCTGACAGGACGCCCGTCTGTGTCTCGTGTTCTCGTAGTGTTGGATCGGGTCAGCAGGCAGCTGGTGGACCGTCAGGAGGAAAACGACAACCTAACTCGATCCATCAGTGACCGTCTCTCCCGCCTCCACGCTGACACGATGGACCTCCGAGACGCCCTGAATGAGGCTGTGAACAACACGGCGAGAGCTGCCGAGATCAACAACGCCAACGAGAAAAGCCTGGACGACCACAACGTAAGAGCAGCAGAGGAAGGAACATGGAGAA